TTTTATATTAAATTCCTTCCATTTTTTTAACGTTTGAGTTACATTTATTAACGGGTGGGCGAAAAATGATACTTTCGCATTTGTTAATATTTATTTTGAGATGTCAGTTTATTGTATAATCCTCAACAGTATTGTATTTGATTTGCAGGTTCCTGTTAACGCTGTCGACCGTTCTGTCGGGGTGGTAAATGACAATTTCGTCAGCGAAGGCTACAATGTTGTCCATTTTTTGTACTAAGTCGAGGATGCAACGATTAAACAGAATTGGAGCATTTACTGTCCCTTGTTGCAGACCATTTACTACATGAAATTCGCGACTGCTTCGTGTATTTTTTATATGAACTGAAAATTTTTTTCCGGATATCATGTTATAAATAAGTGTAAGCAGATGGAGAGGGAATTTATAGCTGATGAGCTTACATACAAGTATTAACCCTTCGATTTATACTTGATCTAATGCTTTCTCATGGTCAAAGAAGTATACTTATATTTCTTATTCCAGTTCCAGCTTATTTCGGAGACTAAAAGATTAATGGCAGGGTTGTCGAATGCCTGTATTTGAACCCGAATTGCTTATTGCTTATTAAATTATTGGTTTTAGTATCTTTATTTATATTTATATTAACCAAAACTTCAAAAACTTTACTAATATTTGGTAGCAGGCAGGTAATTAGCCGAAGGTTTTTCAAGTTAGTTTTGTCCTTACCTTTCTTTGGTATCACAATTAGTTTAGCTGTTTTCCAGTTAGGTAGGAAGTAGGCATTGTTAACATATTATTGAATAAAGTGCAATATTCTAATATTATATTAGTTCTGAGGAGAAGTCTTTTAGAATGATATTGAGTTTTTAGTTTACCTTTTAGTTTAGAGAATACGTCTGTAAGGTCATTTGAACTAACATAAATGTTTTCCGTTTGGTCGTCATTTAAATTATTGGCTATTTTGTTGGTATTGAAGTTTGGTTTGGTCGCTCGAGTGCTGTCGAATAAAATTTTCATTTCGAACAATTTTTAAAGTATTTTTGTACCTGAAAGTGGACTGGATTGTTGGGTTTACTTTCTTTTGTAGAATGAACTGCTTCGAAATGAGTCCCGACTATTTCATTTATAAATTTGTTGTTGTTGAACATAATTGTTTTTAACTAAGTCTTTTTGCAGAAGTTCGGGGTTCAAGCCAGCGTTTTGGATTATGTGGGATGAGTTTAAGGGGATATTTATGTGACTGATTGTACCTATTATTGTTATCTTTTAAAAACGATTTTTTAATAACGGAAAACTTTGAGGGCTCGTTAGTCTTAAAGGTTGAAAGTCTTTGTTCGAGTTGGTTATTAAAATGTTTCTTAATATTGTCATCTATTAGTTTTTTTTTACAAGTTTCAGTTTTGCTTTTTCTACTTGAGGTGTCGTGGGAGGTAGGTATGTTTGTATGGCTGACAGGATTTTACTTTTTTCTGCTAGCAGTTTTTTTATGATAGGCAAGTTTACAAGAGTTTTAGTAGGGCTATTGAATTTTATTTTTGGTACATTTTTTTCTATGGCTTTCAAGACAATATTATTTAAATAAAGCAAATCAATCTCTGTGTTGCTCAATTTTCTATCGTTTGGCACAATGGATACACTTTGAAGTTGCATGTTAAGATTTTTTTTAAATTTTGTGCAGTTAGTTTTTTTGTAGTCAAATGTGGTTTTATTGGGTTGCCTAACAACGTAAAATAGTTTGTGGTGTCTCTATTAGTCGCAACGATTTGAATAGCGCAGTGATCGTAATCAATGCATCTCAAGCAGTTAACTGTGTTATTGGCTCTGTGAATATCTATTCTGTGATCATAAATGCAAATATCAAGAAAGGAATTAGCTCTTTCGTAGGATAAAAAACCCGAAGCATACATATTGCATCTGAACTTTAATTCGTTGGAGGTCAGCCAATTTTTTAGTGATTTATCTTTAGAGTTGTTTTGTGGGTTACCCCAGTCTGTGTGTTTACTGTTGAGATCACTGGCTAATATGTAATAGGGGTTCGGGTTTTGTAGGTTTAAGGATTCAAAGATTGTGTTGAGTTCAGATTTAAATGTGTCGTTAATACTACCTATAGGTAATGGGCTGAAACTATATACATGATGTTATTCGGAGGCATATGTATTTTTATTACACAAGATTCTAAATAGGATAAGGCATCGATGTGTTGGTTGTAGACGTTCGTGTATTTTATATTTTCTGTAATTAGAATTGCGGTTCCTCCCCTCTCGATGCTAACAATCTATCTTTTCTTATTAATTTATACCCTATAAATTCTAGTTTGTGCCTTGTGTTAAGTTTAGTTTCGTTCAACAGAACAATATCGGGCTTATTATTTGATAAGAATTTGCCTAGCTCTATTCTCCTGCTTATATTAATAAGCGAGTTGACATTAAGAGAAATTATGTTTAACTGAGTAATAGTAATAGTATGATCTGAATTCATGCTGTATCTATTATACTTGTATTGTAAATTGCGTCAACTCTTGCCGTTTATATATCCAGCTGCTTCTGCAGAACTGTTAATAGTTTACTTAAAGATAACATTGTATTTTTTAGTTCTTCGAATAATGGATTTTGAAAATTTTTATTATTGGTATCACAAAATACACGAGTTGACTGTTTACAGACATTTGCATAACTTCAATTAGAGTTAGTAAAATTTTGGTTAGTGTTTATTTTCGTAGCTATTAGGTTGTTTTTTTTTCAGTCTTATTTTTTGTTGAAGCTCTTTATACCGCTCACAGCCTTTGTAGGCAGCTGGGTGCCCAAACTTTTTGCATAAAACACAATACACCTTATCATTTTCGGTTGGGTTTGCGTCTAATGAGGTACAATCTTTGCTTTTATGTGTTCCCCTACATTTGACACATCTTGGTGGTAGATTACCATTAGCTGCGCTGTGAAAAAAACTTTGACAGTTTCTACATTGCGGAATCTCAGCTTTTCGTAGGGGTTCCCATTTAATGCAGTGATATTAAAACAGTTTTGGTTGCTTTTAATTCGTTAACCTTACTTTTGGCACTTGTTTGAACCATAACCATAGGTAGTTTTAATTGCGTTGAGTGGAAATTTTTGTAGTAAATAGAGTAACTTTAAGAATTTTTAGGTTATTGTTTTGATATGTGCAAAGTTCATTAAAAATTTCTTCCGGGTCGGTATTGCCGTTTAGCCCGTTCAATAGGTATGTTTTTGTTTGTAAACATTTAGGCGTGTAAGAATAGAATTTTACTTTTGTTTTTTCTAAGTACCCTCTAACTTTTTTATAGTCTTCAATGTTGGTTAAAACAATACTAATTTATTTTGATTATATTCTTTGATTTTAAATTGTGTTATGTTTAGACCGTCTTTTATTAGTACTATTATTCGTTTTGATTCGATGTCGAATGTGTTTGTTGGAAGAATGTTTTTGCAGTTTATTTTTTGTTTGACGTTTGGGATCGAATTAACTTCACGAGTGTTGTTTTTGTGAGAGACGACAGCTGAAGTTATTGCTGCCGCTGCACTTGTTGATGGGCTGTTTTTTGCTGTATTACTAGTTTCATTATGTTCATATTCTTTACTTAGATTATTGGAACGAAAGTGTTGTTCGAATTTTTGCAATGTTTCATTGCACTCTCCTAGATCATCATCTAATATAGCGTGATAATTGTTTTTGGTATTTTTCGACATTGTGTGTTCAAACACGTTGTCATTTTTTCTTTTTCTATTTAAGATTATAGTTGCGACATTGTTTTCAAAACTAAGCGCATTGTTTAACGATCGATCTCTTAACCTAACTTAACCTATTAGCATTGTGTTTTTACTTCACTTAAAAAAATGTTACGCGTGAACGCAGACTTTATTGGCTATGTGTATATACCTATTTCTGTTTTTACATGGTTTTGATTTAAAACGGCTGAAAAAAAATGTAGTTTTTTACATGATTTTATTCCAGTTAGCATGATTTAAAATTTTTTGGGATTACATTTCACTTGTCAGATTTAATGTTTGTGAAATATGTTCATATCACAAATTTAGACGAATTCTCTTTTTGTAGATACAAGCAAGTTTACTGGTCAGAATAGTAGAAATCTTGGGGTTTTGAAAGTGCAGTGGTACCATGCTTTGTAGTCCGTCATGTCCGTCCAAAGGGAATTCAGACGGGATTTTGGCGGCACTCTCCCAAGTATGTAGTAATGATCCATTGTAAGGTTGGTAAACTTGTTTGCCGAATCTGGAAGTACCGCAAGAGGACCGTTCCATCGAAATGAGTATCTTCGTGTTCATACAACTGCGCCGAAGAAGCATCCTTTGCAATAGCGTTTAGTTCCAGCAAGATCAAGCAACTGCATATATAGCCAGACCGGTTATTGCAGAGCTCCAACAAAGATTTAAAAACAAATCATTATCAAGAAAATCCACTTTCCGCCAAGGTCACCTGACTTGACTGCACTGGAATACTTTTTATGACTGAATTGAAGCAGTTTATTAAATCGATGACTGAGGAAATCCGACTTATAATATACATAAGTTAATAAGATACCAAATTTGATTGTAAGCCTTTCACGATTTGATGAATGAATGTTCAATTGTTCCGCAACAGTTTTTAACATACAATTTTGGAAACAGCTGAAGGTATTACTCCGGCTTTGATCATTGAAAGTTGCGAGAGTATAAACTATTCGGTTACACTCAAACTTAAACCCTTTCATTTGTTAGGTTAATATAAGAGTTATGTTTGCTTGTTGGTTCTAATTGCTCTTGCACACTGTTAATCCAATTTCAGTCCCAATTTTTTAAGGTTTGGTATTGAACCAAACTAAATGTTTTCGAGTGATTCAGCCATAAGTAAAAAAAGTAATTTCTCAGTTTCTTGAAGTTAGCTTTCTTCGAAACATTTGCCTTCGAATTTCGAAACTAGGCTTATTTAAAATCATTAAACCGAGTATTGTGCAGTGGTATTGGTATGTAAATATGTTATAGTATTGTTTTTTTTGTTATTGTAGTGTTGACATACGATCTGGAATAACTAGAACCGCGAGGAGGTGGTCAGATGAGAGTATATTTGGCAACCGAGCTTATTTTTTATTCGAGGGCAATCCTGGGGAACTAATTATCCGGAATAGTCAAATATCAGATACCGGAGTGTACAGATGTCGCGTTGATTTCATGAAAGCACAAACCTACAATAGTCGAATTGTGTTAATAATAATTGGTAAGATCTTTATATAAGTACATACTTTTGGCGATAGTGTAAAGATTAATATCATCTATTTTAGCGTTGCCTAAAGAAATCATCATAAGGGATGAAAATGGATTTAAACGCTCAACGGTGGCTGGACCATACAATGTAGGCGATTTCGTGATACTAAAATGTGAAGCTATTGGAGGTAATAATAGTAATAATGAAAATACATAATATAAATCATATTTATTTAAATTAAACTAAGCATTTATATATACTTACTTATTCCGGCTTGTATTCAGGCCAAATTTTGCTCGTTCTCAGTTGCTCAATAGACCAATATATCACAGGTTTCTTAAATGGTTTACTCACAGATTTGGAATGTCAAAGGGAGAAGAAAAACGGCTATATATTGACTAATTTATTTATAGTTATTGAGCAGCGAATTTTCGAACAAAGATTATTTGAAATGAAATATGCTAGTAAGATCGTTAAATATTTATTTATTTATTATATGAAAAATAATAATACAATTATTATTTTACAAAGTAAAAGGAGCACTAGCTTCAGAGGCTTTCAGCTCGTATTGTAGTTAAATTTTTTGAAAGTATAAAATCTTTTATGTCACTAACAATTGTAATGGGAGTTGATACCAACCACAAATCATTATTTTTGACTTCGTTAGATGTGAAGTTTCGTTGTCGTCAAATTTTCTCCAGAAGAGTACTAATAAGTTTAAATTTATTATTTTTCCTCATTAGTATACAACAGTAAGTTTTTAAACATTGAAATTAAAAAATAGAAAATTATGGCATGAACTTTACCAGACCTATTCGTATTGGCATAGTTTTGGTATGTATTGTTTGAAAAACAAGAAAACACGTTAACTTCGGTTGCACCGAAGCTATAATACCCTTCGCAAATACAAAGGTTCCTTACAAGAACTTGATTTCGATACAATTTCGTAAAGATACTTCGTCAAATAAAAAAGTTTTCCATGCAAACACTTTATTCCGATCGTTCAAGTTATATGGCAGATATATGCTATAGTCATCCGATCTATACAATTTCTGCAGAAATTGCATTATTGCATAAATAATAATCCATGCCAAATTTTGTGAAGATACCTAGTCAAATGAAAGAGTTTTCCATGCAAGCACTTGATTCCGATCGTCCAGTTTGTGTAGCAGCTATATGCTGCAGTAATCTGATTTGAACAATTTCTTCGGAGATTACATTGTTGAATTAGGAAATAAATCATGTAAAATTTTGTAAAGATATTACGTCAAATTTGTTTGGTAGCTATATTCTATAGTGGTTCGATATCGGCCGTTCCGACAAATGAGCAGCTTCTTGGTAAGAGTAGGATGGGTGTAAAATTTCAGATCGACATCTCAAACACTGAGGGACTAGTTGGCGTATATACAGACAGACGGACAGATAGACGGACATAGCTGATCATTTATATATAAATATTTTAGAGGGTCTTCTTTGTTTCCTTCTGGGTGTTACAAACTTCGTGGCAAAATTAATACACCCCGTTCAGAGTATAAAAAAGGGCAGGAAGTAAGCTCAAAAGATTGGAATAAGTTAGTTTTTTTTTTATCAGAGGCACAGGACATATTATTATGTTTTGTGTTTTTGCAAAAGAGTGTCATCAGTTGTGCTGGCAACTCCACTCCGCAAAGTTTTGAAATAATTGATTTTATACTCACTCAAAAAGCAGTTTCATTTACCTCTAATACCGTCATTTGAAAACACAAAAAGTTTTATCATCATACTTTCAACGTCATTTCCTCACCACCTGAGTCTAGCAGACCATCAGCATGGCCTCCGAAAAGTGCACAGCACCACCACAGCACTTAGCGTCATAAACGCCCAGATAGTTCATGGCCTGAACCAGAAGCCACCCTGCGAGAGGACGATCCTCGTAGCGTTGGACTTGTCAAAAGCTTTTGACACAGTCAATCACACAACGCTACTTGAGGACCTAGAACAACCAACGCTCCCTCCAGGGCTGAAGCGGTGGACTATGAACTACCTGAACGGTCGGCATTCATCCGTACTGTTTCGAGGTCAAAACTCCAAACTTAGGAAAATTAAACAGGGGGTTCCGCAGGGCGGTGTCCTCTCCCCTTTACTGTTTAATTTCTATATTTCGAAATTCCCCCAGCCACCAGCGGGAATATCAGTGACCTTGTACGCTGATGACTGCACGATATTGACGTCGGGAAATGGAATCGATGGCATGTGCACAAAAGTAAACAGCTACCTCTCCGATATTTCTCGCTTCTTCTCTGCAAGGAGCCTAACACTCTCCCCCACTGAATCCACAGCGACCATCTTCACAAATTGGACGAAGGATTACAGACTGGACCTGAACATTTCAGTCGATGGCACAAAAATTCCGACAGTAAATAACCCTAAAACTTTTGGCGTCACATTGAACAGTCTGTGTTCCTTCACTCCTCACACGACCGCGATAACTGCCAAAGTACAGAGCCGCAACAAAATCCTCAAGTCGCTTGTCGGCAGCTCTTGGGGAAAAGACAAAGAAACGTTGTGGGCAACTTACAAGGCAATCGGCCGACCGGTCCTAAACTACGCATCTCCAATTTGGTCGCCTGGATATAGTGCAACGCAGACGAGGAAGCTTCATACTTGTCAAAACACTGCACTCCGGACTATCAAGGGGTGCCTCTTGATGTCCCCAATTGAACACCTACATAGTGAGGCCCTTATGCTTCCGGTTAAGGAACATAATGACCTCCTCTCCAAGCAGTTTCTGCTGGTTCAACTCCTACTTATCCAGAATAGACCCCGACATACCAAACACATGTCCTGCATGCAATGAGGCCCCGCATGATACTAACCACCTCTTTGCATGCCCAACAAACCCAACTCATCTAACACCCTTTTCCCTATGGTCCGACCCCGTCGAAACAGCCCGTTTCTTGGGCCTCCCGTTAGATGACCGCGACGACAACCAAACTATCACTTACCATCCAAGCGGGGACTAGATAACCGTTACAACAACAACAACAATAACAGCAGATCAAAAATCTGAAAAACAAAAACTTCCCCGGTTACGACCTGATTACTACTGAGGTTCTAAAACAACTTTCTCCAATAAGTAAAGTAAAAATTACCAACATTACAAACGAGTCTTTTCATTTTACATATGGGCCAAGTTATTGGAAAATTGTTGAATTTATCATGATTCAAAAACAGTTTCCCTGGTTAGCCTTACAGGCTCATATCGCTTCTACTGAGAATGTCGTTACTTTTTGAGAAAATTTTCATAAAACGTCTCAATAAAATCATAGAACTAAAAGTCATAATTCCAGCCTATCAATTTGCGTTTCGTGCTAACCATTCTACCATTGATCCACACAATTACACATATTATAGAAAAATACTTTTAGGAAAAAAAATTTCACCGAGTTTTTGGATGTTTCAACGGCGTGCGATAAAGTTGGCCAGAAAGGTCTGCTTTCGAAATTGAAACTGATTTCGCTACTTCCGCGTTAAACACGGAGATACGAGTATTTTATTCTTAAGGAAATAAAAGCAGGCGTTCCCCAAAGTGGGGTGTTGGGCCCTGTTCTTTATATTCTATTCACGCATGACCTGCCAGTCGACTGCAATTACACAATAGAAGAATATCAATAGGTTAATTGGTAAAAAATCAGTGTTATCCATCGAAAATAGGTTCCTCATCCATAAACAAGTACTCGGACCGACATCGGGTATGGAGAAATATTAAAAATTGTAGCACCACATAAAGCAAAGTTGGAAAGCCATTGTAACGAAAAAGTAGCCATCTTAACTTCTAGAGAAGGACCACTAAGACGACTCAAACGTCTTAAACCCAGTGATACTTTAAACTAAACAATACTCTCATAGTAGTTTTGTAATTTTGTAATAATTATACAATTAATTCATATTCAAGTTACTTGTAAGTCTTTCTTTTGTATATAATATTGAACTTTTTGCAATGTAATATAACAAAAAAAAACAGTGTTGTTTTGAAAAAAAGAAAAAATTTAAGTAAACCGAGAGAAAATTGTCGAAAACATATGGTGTATATATTTCCATAAAACTTCTTCTTTTATGGGCAATTATTTTATCATTTTTCAATTGACACTTTATTTGTAAGGGCCAGTAGTAATCTGCCATCCTGTGACGATCCCATCAACCTTGATACTTTATTTCCATCTCTATTAGATCCTGATGAAACCGCTCTCTCTGTTCATCTATATTAATATTTGTAAAGAGTTAACCCAATTACTGGGAGCACTAACCACTCGAGACGTACAACCAGATTGAAAAACCCGAAAGTTTCGATTTATAAACTTTATTAGATACAAATTATAAAAGAGATATTTGTTACAACTTAACGAAATAGTATTCCGCTTATAATTATAATTATATTATTTAAAAACTGCGTAAGAATTACTTAGGAAATTGCTCGCGCAAGTTCGCCGATACCGCCGGATCACCAGTCGAAGTGAAAAAGGCTGTTCGCTTCGAGGACAGACGTTTTGAACGTTGGTAGACTTGTGGTGGATTGGTATCCTGCACGTATTGGTGTGTGTGTATACTGCTGCTTCCAGGTGTGGTGTATTAGTGTGTGTTGTTGTTTCCAGGTGTGGTGTGTGTACCAGTGTTGCCTTGAGAGTGATGGTTTAAGTGTATCATGGCGGTAAGCTTAGCTCATTTAGCCGATATAATAAAAAGGAAATATTTGGTTGTTTGTTTGTTTGAATTGAATAGACCCCGAAAACTCTTGACGGATTTTAAATATTCTTTTAACGTTCGCAAGTTACACTCTCTTCAGTGAACATAGGCTATATAACGGGCGGTGTGGAATTGAATATAAATAATATTAAAAGTTCGATGGTGACACCTCATCGTCTATATGAGGTCCTCGTTCTCCAAGATGGCAAATGGAGGGGTCTGCTAAAATCTGTACCTGTCATGCCTTGATAAAATCTGTATCTGTCATTATTTGCTGTATTTGAGGACTGTCAAATATTCCACTTTTCAACTTTTCCATACTATGCTTTGAAAATTTTCTAAAATTATCTTTTCTCGTCCGCTTTAAAAATTACTTTATCGTTTCTTGATAAAACAAAGAAGATGTTTCAACCTCCATTCCCTTCCACTGTTCGAATTTAGCGATTTCTAGGAATAGAAAGAATCAAATATCCATTATTCGATAAAATCGTGAATACATTACAATCAAATTTCGTATTTTCTTGACTTTTATTGAAGGTCATAAACTTTGACTAAGTTTTATTGTTATAGTTTAGATCGCGTTAGCTAAAATTGTATTAAAAACACCTTTAAATGAGATATATGTATGTATTGTATATGATATTAAATGCTAAATTTAATATATATTGAGTTGACGCGCAAAACGTCGACCAGAAAATAGGAATTCATTGTATTAAGGATATGAGGTGTAGACCAAGGTACATATTCTAATTCAACGTCAAACGACATAATTTTTAAGAAAATTTGTCCATTTAATTTCATTAAAATATCTTATTGTAACCAACCCAAACGGTTTGAGGTAAGGTGGAACGACGGAAGTCATTATATGGGGTACATTGGGGTACATTGTACGACATATTCGGCATAAAAACTAAAATCGTTATAAAATCAGTATATGGCATTTGAGGGTAGTATTGACTCAATTTTGCCAATACTATTAACCACTGATTAATAAACTGCTTCCAGAGTTTCATTTAGGTACCTCACATACCATCACCAATCATATGGAGTAAAGTCAGCCGGATGTTAGTTATAAGGGGCTTAGGTCAAGTTTTCACCTAATTTTATCCATATTAAGCACAATGATACACTATTATGAATAAAACACACCCTATCAGATAAATTGAGATAACTCACATATTGGCCGATATTTGCAATATAAAGTCAGCCGGAAGTTCGAAGTTCTTTATATTAGGTATATGGAGGCTAAGGGAAGTATCGACGCGAGTTTTGACACACAGACGTTCTAGTATCAGGAAAGGAACACATTGACCGATATTTTTATTAAAAAATCAACTACAGGTACGGGGGTCCACATATTCGGTACTTAGGGGCTTGAACAGTTTTGGTTCGATTTGCATAATTTTTAATTGTCACTTTAAAGGCACTATTCGTGAGAAATTTTAACCCTATATATTATTGTAATTGCTTTTTGATTTGTATACTGGAAAGTGAAGGAATCAGATGAAATTTAAAATTTTGTTATATGGGAAGTAGGCGTAGTTTTAGACCGCTTTCGCCCATCTCCACATTATAACATTAAAGTATCAGAGTAATGTTACCTACTGAATGTGGTGAAAATTTATGAAGGTGGGCGGTACCACGACCATTGTCCAAAATTTTGTTTTGGATGCTACTTGTATAAAGCTTAATTATATCCTATGTGTAAAATTCAACGTTTCTGACTGGTTTATTTAATGAGTTATCGCACTTTTAGTAGTTTTAATCAAAACAGCTATATGGGGAATGGGAGGGGTTAACACTCGATTTCAACCATTTTCACACTGTCAATATTGATGCTAAATTATTTGTATTGAGTGAATTTGGTTATAATAGCTTTAGCGAGATATGCACATTAAACCTATAGGAGAGCGGAACCACGTCCACTTATTAAAAAAATTTTAACTGCAGATACCAAATAACAGCCTTGTGTCATATTGTGCGGCTTAGTTTTTTGGGCGTGGAAATGGTCCAATAACGCCTATCTGCAATGCCAACTGTCTTACGGCGGCCAGAAACATGTGTACCAAATTTCATCAAGATATCTCAATATTTACTCAAATTACTGCTAGCATAGTCGGACGGACAGTCAGACAGTCAAACGGATTTCAACTCGTCTCTACATCCTGTATCTAAGTCGATTAGTTTTAGGTGATACAAACAACCAAGGGGAACAAAACTATTATATTCTGTAGCAACATGTTGTAAAGATATAAATATATGAAGTCCTCTGGGAAAGGTATGCATTATAACTCAAAGAAAAAAAAATATTTGGGAAATATCTCACACTTCCAAACTAATATCCAGTTTATTTATATTATTTTAGAATAGTTCCGATAACCAAACTTAATACCAATCGCAAACAACGGTGTAAAAACATTTCAAGAAAATTACAAAAAGTTTTATTTTGACATGAATATATATAAGTACATATATTTATATAATATTACAATACATATATATAATATATATAAGTACATATATTTATATAATATTATATATATTGTTTTACTTCTTTAAGAATATTACATGATATTTTTAATTTTAGGTAATCCCACTCCCGAATTAGCTTGGTTTTTTGAAGACCTCAATATAGAATACGTAATGGCTACTGACATTCTAAACAAATCTGTTCAAAGTGTCATTAAATTCGGACCTTTGAGTAGAGAACACCTAAATGGACGGCTTACTTGTCAAGCCCGTAATCATCTTAAAGCTGCACTTGTTCAGGCTATTGTACAAATCGATATGAACTGTAAGTACAACTCGTGTTATAAATGATTGTATTTGATCTTTTTGGTAAAAATATGTATGTAGGATACAAGCATGTGTATTATTTTAATATTAGCAACATAAATTTGACGCAGCCGATGTTTTTTTTTTACTTTCCAACAATATTGTACGCAACTGTGGGTAACGAAAAACCCTTCTGCTTGATAAAGTATAATGTCGTTTCACTTTTGTTTCATATTTACTCATCAACAAATAATACGCTGCTTTCCAAAACAGAAAAACATGGTTTTCTTTTGTGACCTGCACGCTAAATGCCCTAAATGGTAATAAGCAAAATCGGTGATTTATGTATCTATACAGAAGCTTTTGCTTAAGTGGTCGACTGGCCCTGAGCCCTCAAAAACTACTGACTTTCATAATTAAATCTGGGAACAAGGAAAAGTTAATTAAGGCACTATTCGTGCAGAGTTGTAAAATTTTATGTTTTTGGCGCATTTGCTTATAAATTTATCGCACTTTTAGTATTTCTTAACAAAACCGTCATATGGGGAGGGAGCGGTATTATAATCCGAATTCACACATTTTCACAGATTTGCCCTGAGCGTATTTCATTATCATAGCTTGAATAGCTTAGAAGATATGTACAATAAACTTTTTAGAGGACCTTGTACTTTATTGTGGAGCTTAGTTATGGCACTTTATAGGTTTTCGATTAATATAATTTAGTGGCAATAGTCCGATTCCGCCCATCTGCAATGCCAACCCTCCTTGGGTGCGATGTACCAAGTTTTATCAAGATATCTTAATTTTTCCTCAAGTTATCGGTGGACGGACAGACAGTCACACGGATTTCAACTCGTCTAATCATCCCGATTATTTAAATATACATAACTCAATATCTATCTCGATTAGTTTTAGGTGATACAAACAACCGTTAGATGAACAAAACTATTACATTCTGTAGCAACAGGTTGCGAGAGTTGCTTTCTGTTAATGGTTAAACACATGTTATCACCAATCCTGTATAGAGCAAGTCAGTGATTGACTTCATCGACACTCAGCTAGATTTAATGTTCGCTGATTAAATGTTTACAAGTTGCCGGAGGCATAAAAATTCCCTATTTTTCAGAGGCTAATTGTAGAGTGGCGAATGTTTTGGCTAGTTCATCTGCTTCGCAGTAACCAGGGATATCACTATGCCCTGGAACCCATTCCCGGTTAACGTGAAGGAGGATGTTAGCTCCTCTAATTGATCAAGACGTTCTTTCACTATCTTTGATGAAACCCTTGGAGACTTCAGTGATTTCAAAGCCGATTAGATATCCGTATATATAAATATGCTTCTTGTTGTGAGCATACTTTTTGTCAGAACAACAAGGCTTTCTTTGACTGCTGCGTTCTCCGCTTGGTCTGGTAACCGGGACGCGATTTTGGTATCTAGTTTTGCTGAAAAGACATCACCTCCCACTCGATTATCTAGTTTGGACCCATCAGTAAAGATGCTAATCCCTGCATTCCTGTCTAGCTCGTCCCTTTCCCAATGTTCTCTGGTGGGGAAAGCAATATTGGGGACCGAATTTAGTTTCAATTCTATTGGATTTCAAAAATCCGTGAGAGTGCCCAGAAACGGGAACTCACTAAGTATCTAAGAATTCCCCTTATTGCATGCGACTAATTGGGAGTATTTCCGCTGCCACTTGCTTACAGAACAAGCCTATTGGCAGTACATGTAAAGTGACGTTTAGTGCTTTACTTGACGTTGTTCTAAGAGCTCCTCTGATGCAAATGCTGGCTGCTTTCCTTCGCCTCGCCGCGTATTTCTTTAATATTATTGGCCATCATACCAATATGCCGTATGTCATTATCGGTCTAAGATACCCTACTGTGTAGGGAAAATGAGCTACCAGGTGTGTAGCTGCTTTCTCCACCCAAGCATCTAAGTGTGGTTTCCATGAAAGCTTACTGTCTAAGATTAGTCCTAAGAAGCTTGCCTTATCTGCAATTGTTAGTCTGCTATCATCTAATTCTGGCCCCGTAACTTCTGGAGTTTTGTGTTTCCTGGTGAACAATACCAGCTTTTAAGTTTAGTCCGCACGATACGGCCCAACGACATGTACTCCCTTCTTTTCTAGATCCAACAGCAACTAATTCCTTGCTAGGATGCAGAGAAATGGGGATAACAACCCTCCTTGAAGTGTACCTCTACAGATGTGCACATCGTTGAAGCTCCCAGCGTTGAAATTATTGACCTGCTCGTGAGGATCTCTTTAATTAATTGTCTAAGAGGTTCAGAGCTATCCATATCCTTAGGGAGCTCAGTATTGCCCTAGGCTGGATATTATTTAAAGCACCTTCTATAATTAAGAAGGCAAATAAAGTGCATCTTTAACTTCCAGAGCTTTTTTAATCTCCGCCACCACAAACTTTAGTGCTGTTTCTGTGGATTTTTCTTTAGAATACGCATTTGCCAGGTTTAAACCATCTGGTCCCGGCGACTTGAAGCTTATAATCGCCCAGCGTACATTGCCTTCGGACACTATATCTATAGGAGTGGAGTCTATCTCTGCTCCGCTGTCTTGTGTATACTCTACTGTATAGGTTTCAGAGCTACCTGGGAAGTGGGTATCCATTAGGAGGCCTAGTCACTCTTCACTGGATACTGTCCAGCTATGGTCCGGCTATCCCATACTCTGTACCGATTGTGGATTATTTTCCTAAGTCGATACGCTCCCCCCCACCAAAAAAAATTCTACAACGTCAGGCGATGATAATACCGGCAACAAAAATAAAAAATTGACTGTGGAACAAAAAAGTTCTACAACACCAGTTGACGTACTTACCGACAATAAAGAAAATTATATAACCAAAATTACTTTGGAGGAAGAATTCTCTGAAGCACCAACCGAAGAAAATACCGGCATAAATAAAGAAAGAATTGAATATTTGAAGAAAATAATAATAAAAATAAAAGTGAATTTACCATAATAAAAATAAACGTGAATTTACCATTTCGGGCGGATATAAAGGCAGAAATCACGGCAATAATTGAAAATAACAATAAACTATACCCATATCCCTTTTGCTAGATGCAAACCATAAAAGAAGAATATATAAGTATGTAATATACAATACTTAAAAAAAAATAATAGGAGAGAGAAAGGCCCAAATACAAATAAAGATTAATAATTGTTTAGAAAAACAAAAAAAAAACGCTTTAAAAGAATTTTCACACCTGCTCCTATAAATCTCTTCCCTACCATCTTGTTTGTGAAATTTAATGCTTATGGCGCATATATTTCGTCAGTTAGTTTTAGTATATTTTAACATAACTGTTATATGGGGAGTGAGCGTGGTTATTATCTGATTTTGCCCATTTTCACAGCGTATGAAAAAGGGCTAAAAGGACTTCCTCAGCAAATTTAGTTGAGTTATTGTAGCTTTAGCGGTTTGGAAGAAATATACATTAAACCATTTAGGGTGTGGTTTACGCTCACCTTTAAAATAATGGGAAACTGTTATCAAATTATTGCAATGTCATCGTCTGCAAAGTTTCAAGTTGACCAGACTTCTGGAAACCGGTGAAAATTGAGCTCTAAGATTCCATTAGATACATACAACCCAAGCTAATAAAAGCGAATTAAAAACAAGTTATAAAAGAAGATTTAGAATTAACTACAGAAATAGAATACTACATAAAGATAATATTAAATCTTGAATATATATATAGAAAATGATACCCTTAATATTTCTAATATTAATTACTCAAACAATGACGGACGATTGACTTGACTGAGTTAATGGACATTTCTAACTTTAAGGTAGTACAAAATAAAGATGTAATTGTTATATACATATACATATTAAGTATCCAAAATTTATAAACGATTGCAAATATTATGAAGCAAGAGCAATCACACAAGAAGACGGTAAAAAAAAACAAATTGACAAAGAAATCGCAAAATGTTAAAAGGAATATATAAATATAAAAAGTTGGAAAAAAGAAATGTTATTGAATCGGGAACGATTCATCTTAGAGAGGGGGGCAACCTCCATACAGCAGCTTTACGCTAATTATAAACAAAACTGTATCTTTCCACTTAGCAATTATACAACCTCTTAATAAGCATCTTTGCTTATTTAAGTAACTGATATGCTTTTTCGTTCAGTTCAGACCCTGCAGTTGCATTGTTGTTGTACTGGGATATTTACTTCCGTCTTTTGTGTACCTGTATAAGCCGTTTTAATGTGGTTTATTAAATCGCCATCGAAGAGATTCATTATTCGATGTGATTTTGTTCAAGTCGACAATGTCAACAGTTAGCTGATGAGTCGAGGCTCTTATCTGCGCATAGTCTACTAATATCCTATCTATTTTATCTCGGTATTCATGAGTACTCTCTATTTGTTATCTTCCTAGTTCGAACGAGATCTCTCCTTTAGTAGTTTTTCTTATCTGCAAAACGTTTTCTCTAAGCTATTTAGGATTTCCATCCTTTTTAACCGCTCTCAGTATGTCCTTGTAGGCCATTTCTCCAGTATCTGCTGAAACTAGGGCATCCGGTCGCGGTTGTCAAGCCCCGCTTCTTGGTGGTTTTTTTCCTTGCACTTTTCAGATTTTCGCCTATTTCCTCTAAGTTCTCTTGCCACCTCTTCGCCATGCGATGGTGGGGTCTACCGGCTAGCTTCCCTGCTATCCTAACTCAGATGAGTTATATTCGTATGTAATATAAAGTCATTCAAAGTTAAATTTAATAAATGGAGTCTACGAATAAAGCATCAAAAAAAGGATGGGAAATCCCAATTTCATCCTGGGCTAATGAAAATCAGTATATATATGTAGCATAGAAATAGATGCTTTCTGAATTTTATTGAGAAACCTCGTAATAGGGCTAGAGGATACGCTGTTAGTAGAAATAGATTATTTCTGAACCTCCTTAAGATTTCTTACATACTGGTTAATAGATGCGGTATAAAATCAACCGGAAGTTCGAAAATATCTATATTTCGAATATTCGGGCTAAGGGAAGTATTAACCCGATCTTTCGCCAGAAGAGCATGCATGTTCTCCGCAAAATGGACCTCATCAGACATAAACAGGTAATTCATCAAGTTATTGTCTTCTTCGGTCATTTCAATAGTTTTGGTAAAATTCCAGGCGAATAGACAAATCTAAAGGGTTCAGCCGGTTTCTTATTTGAACATTGTACGGAAAAAGTTTTAAGTCATCATGAATTATACGTTGTAATGACCGTCTGCTAACTCCAAGTTGCGCCGATAAGTTGCGAGTCGAAACTTTTGAATTTGCCTGAGGTGACGATGCAACAGCCGCGATTGTTTCTTGAACTCGAACATATGGATCTCGATGGTACGGTCTTCTTGTGATACTTCCAGATTCGGTAAACATGTTTACCATCCTCATAATGGACCATCTATTCGGGGAAGTGCCGCCAAAATCCCGCCTGAAGTCCCTTTGGGTGGAAATGACGAACTGCAAAACATAGTACCGCTGCACTATCAAAACCCTCGTTTCGATATCCCAAGCATTCACTTTTATAAAATTTAATTAAAAATCTGCCAAATTACAAAAAAAAAAAGTTTTTGTAGTATTCGTGAGCCACCCGATATTCAAAAGAAAATATATCACTCAATGTATCACTTATTTTTAATCACTCGTCTAATCTAAAGTGTGGTTAGCCAAGACAAACGCGAACGGTTAAAGATTTCATAGAAAATAGCTATATGTGCAATTAGCTATAATTGTTTTCTGAGTGTACCACTTTCACCAAAATTGACTCTTATTGAAAATAAAAGCGTAAGAAATATAATTAGGTATAAATTAACATCAATTTTATGAAAAATTTAATGTTTAAGCTTAACGGAACTCTCAAGTAAAAGAAATACGCCACAGAAATATAATTACTAACTTTGTAAAAGATCCAGAAAAAAACGTAATTTGTAATCGTACCCACAATAGACGAATGCGCGAAACGTCACATTAGACAACTGAGTTGCTCAAAAATTACAGCCGAACTAGGACTATCAGTTACTCGTCAACGAATTAACCAAATATTGCGAAAGGATTGCCAGTTGATATGAAAATAAAATACCCAAACCGCGCCTCAAACAACGCCATAGAAATGCGAGCATTGCTTTTTATGAAAAGTGCAAATTTTGGGAAGACGAATTCAATTCTGTTACTTTTAGCGATGAAAAAAATGCAACTTCAATTGTTCTGACGCTTCCCACAAATATTGGAGGGATACCCGCTATCCTCGGTAGACTTACCACAAGCGCAAACATGGTGGGAAATCCCTGATGGTGTGATGGTTTTACTCGTATGAATGCGGAAACATGTGTAGAGCTGTTGGAAAGTGAGTGTGATGAAAACTGGATATTTCAACAGGACAACGCACCAATAAATGCACCAGAGTACACAAAGGCTTTTTTCGAAACACATAACATCCCGTTGTTGGGGTGGCCCGCCCTTACTCCGGATCCTTTCTGCAAAAATTTGTGGAGCTACGAAACAGGACGGCTCTTTAAAACAGCTGAATGACGCCATCGTTAAAGAATGGGCCGACGACTGCAAATAATCCAAATTCAACAAAATGTATTTCTTATTTATATGTATAACAATTAAACCCTGATTGAACAGGTATTTATTTTCAACAAAATATTTGGTCAAAAATGCGCTTTAGTACTTTTAAATGATTAATGAGCAAAATTAAATTAATTTTTTTAAATGTAATATTTCTGTTTTTATATATATTTATGTTATTCGATATCTTACATATAAACGTGTTACTTTTAGAAACACATCATATATAAAAAACAAAGTGTTGAGAAATAACATTAAAAAAACATATTGCACAAATAGCTATTTTACTAGAAATTGATTTAGTAATGTCAAGAGTTGACGTACTCAGTCCAAATCTTGACTCAGCCTCAATATACGCGATATAGTTATTTCGATCCATTTTGACTTTCCATCTGAGTTTAAAAAGCTTATGTCGGTCAATATGTGTGATATTTTGAAAGTAATTGAAAAAATTTTCCTAAAAATAATGTAGTTGGCCTAAATCTCATTTCCCTAATAAGCTGATTTCCCATCCTCTGAGTGAGTTTTCCTCATATGTATATAAATATTAAATTTAACCCTTTGGTTAAGTTTATATAAGTTATATGGTACATATGTATCTCAATTGCGTTAATAAACTTGATTAATTAAATTAAATGAGTCTATGATCAATAATATAAGTTAATAAGATATCAAATTTGATTGTAATTAATTCGGTTTCTTCAAATAATACGTATTGAATTCTTACTTGTTGTTTATTTTACTTATTTGTCATTCTGAATTTCAGTGCCTCAAATCTATCGAATTTCAATTTTAAAATGCCAAAACAATTTTAAATTCGAACATGATTTTTCGAAAAGTACTTGTTGAAACTTTCGCTTTCTTCCATAGTGTGATCCGTACTACAATATTTTGCCTAAAAGGTGTCAATAAAATTGCTTGCGACATCCACTGCGAATTTGATAAAAAAAACTTTGAATATAGGATACCCATATATTATATTTATATTTAGTGACTTGTCTGATTAGTAATCTGTTCGACTGTCATCAAAGTTCCCAAGTGCGTTATGTGGCGATTCGAATTTGATATTACGAAATTGGACGACTGTTTATTGAAGTCGAAAAGTAAATTTGCTGGTGCAACTCACTTAAGACAAGTATGACTATGACGTAAACAACTCAGAATACTAAGAAATCGTGTTCCAATTTTGTCATATGCCAGTTTTTACTTAAGTTTACATTTAGGCAGACAGAAATCAATTCGTTGCCTGATTATTTTTATATGTTTAGCCCTATATCTATCTTGGTTAGTTTTAGATGCCACAAACAACCGTTAGTTAATCAAAACTCGCACAATTTAATTGTATTATTCAATGTGTTATTTTTGTTACACAGTTCCTCCGTTGAGTATTCGTTTACTTGGCGCACACCAGCCTCTTTCTGCCGGGCGCCGTTATGATCTATTGTGCCAAAGCGCTGGAGGTAGACCCCCTGCAGTTATAACATGGTGGCAAAATGATATACGTTTGGAAAAAACCACCGAAACCGTAAGTTTGTTTCATTTTATTTTTATAATATTTAACGCAAATAAACGCTGTTACTATTATTTCCAGCTCTAGTTTACTTAAAGAATTAGCATTTTGCATTGCAATAATTACATTTTTATAATAAATATATGGACATAAAAGCAATACGAAGTGTAAGTGCTTCAACTAAATATTGTACTACTAGATTTACCTTAAATATTCATATGATCGGAAAGTTATCGACCGACTAATATTTTAAAGAAAAACAAGTGGTAAGTTCGGGTATATCTTATTTTATACAAGTACTCTCGCAATTTTAAGGCTCAAAGGCGGTGTCTTAGCAAACTATACATAGTGAGGAAGATTATACGGATGCTCAATTTTGTTAAGTTATCGTACGTATTGACCGATGTATATGGTATAGAGTCAACTGAAAGAATGGAAAACTTATAATTTGAATATGTGGACTAGGAGAATATCTCAAATATTAATCGATATTTTCCATAAGCAGTTAGCTATGGGCTCCGATGTCGACATATTTGGTGACTGAGGGCTGCAAATTAATCGTCTGATTTCCAACAGTTTTAGATTAGAGATCGCTTTGATGGCGCTATTTGTGCAAAGTTTGGTTCCGATATACTCAATGGTGTTTGAATTATATAATATAAAGTTAAAGAGTAGTTCTTAGTCATAGCATTTCAAGGGGGCGAGGCCATTCTCACATTGTTTAATACCGTGGGCCACAGACATTTTATGTATTCTAAAATGTAGGTTAGTTTAGCTTACAACCCTTTAAAGTTTTTTGACTATAAGTATTTTGTGGGCGCTGAAACTCTTTTATTCCATCCATTTTCAATACCAACCCTCTCATAGGGCCAGGGAGCATGTGTTCCAAGATTCAACAAGACTCTCATTTTATTCCCCCTATCACCACAATTCACCTCGACTGGTCATCCAGATAATTTTGGTATAGATAACGTTATATCTTTTTAATTTAAGCTGTTACAAAAAAAGATAGGAAATATAACTGTGTGTTCGAGCTGTAGTCATTACCGCAGTGTTTCCTTTTATAACAAGGCACCACATTCTTTGGTAAAGCTCGGCAACAGTAGCAACATCACGCGTTCGTTTAGTAAAATGTTGAAAATATGTTGTGCATTAGAACTGCAAAACTGTCGGTAATCGGACCACTCGATAGGCGAATCGATAAACCCTGTTTCATGTGTGATTGCCAAAAAAAGATTTTAAAAACATCAACCAAAAGATGTAAAGAACTATATTAGAGATATGAAGTTTAAGACAAATTTTATTTCTGCTCAGCGCTGAACTACATTATTTTTAAGAAAGCTTCTCCACTTAATTTCATTAAAATATCACTCATAATGACCGATATTAACGGTTTAAAGTAAATTGGTAATTTCGCAACTCATAATATGAGGTATATTGGGGCTAAGGGAAGGTTTGGACTAATTGAAATAACGTTTGAATTGCTTAAGTATAGTCGAGAACATGCTTCCACGTAATTTTTGCGAAGATTACCCGCGCACTGATCGACTTATTCGGTATAAAGTATTCTATAATAACGATTATTATTATGTGTGGTATTTTGCCACAATTTTAATATTATAGGTATTTATATAGACATAAAAATAAAATCTGTGTTATCTGGTTTAGGATAACAAAAAAATCGGTAGTAAAAAGTATATTGCAATTAATATCACAATATAATTCTATATAATGAAAAACTAATATAATTTGAGTTTTTTTCGGTATATAAGGATCGATTTTACCTATGTACAAGATTATCCTCAATTTAACATATTCTGTTAATAGAAATTATTTTGTTTTGTATTAGAAATTAGAACAGGTTGTTATTAGCAAAATTTTATTTCAACTATTTCAGATATCAAGCGATGGAAACCAAACTACGAGTACATTATCAATCATTTTCGAGAAATCTGATTCGGGAAAATACCTTTCCTGTAAATCGTATAACCTTGCTAAACCAGTAATGCCATTAGAAGACGGATGGATTCTTGATATACAGTGTAAGTCTGAGAATTTAACATTTTTCAAAAACAATGAAGGTATTAAAGATGTGGTTGTATAATATATGTCCTAACGCTGTACGAAATGTTTCTGATATTCATATCATTTTTTAATTTAAAGTTGTATTAATTTATGTTTAGTTTCACGTTTATTTTTGTCTACACAAAATTCAGTCATCGATAATAGATTAGTACAAATTTACCTCGCAATAGATATAAAAAGATCCCTACATCACAAGAAACTTGAAGCTATGGGCTTGTATCCAGGTTGAACAATTTGATGAAGTTTTAAAATATGGAAAGTGTACACACACATAATAACTATTTTGGTAGTGGATTACGAGTAAAGCGGATTACGAGTATAATAGTTTTGTTCACCTAACGGTTGCTTGTATCACCTAAAACTAATCGAGTTAGATATAGGTATATATATATATATATATATATATAAATGATCAGGATGAAGATACCAGTTGAAATCCGGGTAACTGTCTGTTTGTCCGTCCGTCTGTGCAAGCTGTAACTAGAGCAAAAATTGAGATATCTTTATGAAACTTGGTACACATATTTCTTAATACCGTAAGGCGGTTGATATTGACTACTGCCACGCCCACAACACGCTATGAATCAAAAACCAATAAACTGCCATAACTACGCTCCACAATACGATACAAGAGTGTCTCCGAAACTGCTATAGCTATAATAACAAAATTCATTGAGAGCAATTGTTTTTAGCACCTCTATCGACAGTTTGAATCGGTGAAATCGGGTGACAACCCCGCCCACTCCCCGTATAACGGTACTGTTAAAAAGTACTAAAAGCGCCATAAATCAAGCACTAAACACGCCAGAAACATTAAATTTTATCTCTGGCATAGTATGAGATGACTTTATAGGAACCGCGTTCAAAATTAGAAAGTGGGGGTGGCATCGACCACTTTTAGGTGAAAGCCCATATCTTGGGAACTGTTTAACCGCTTTTAACTAAATTCGGTACAAAATATGCATCTCATATTTTTATGTTATAATACGAAAATGGGCGAAATCGGATTACAACCAAGCTTATTCCCCATATATCACCATTTTAAGTTCTATCTGATTCTTTCCCTTTCCAAATCAAGCAAAAATGTTTTAGCGGAGTAAAACTTTGCGTGAATAATGCGTTCAAAGTATGCCACTTTGTGACCCAAAATTGCCTAATCGAACCAAAAGTGTCCAGCCCTAGGTACTGAATATGTGGACCCCATTGTCTGTAGTTGACTTTTTACCGAAAATATAGGTCAATATGTAAGAGATATAATTTAAATTCATATAACAAATAAAGAAATGAAACTAGTAGGTTTTTGTGTCAATAATGGGTTGAATCAGGTCAATACTTCCTATAGCCCTCATATACCTAATATAAGGAATTTGGAACTTCCGGGGAGGTTATCTCAATAAAAATAAGAGAGCGTGTTTTACTCATAACGAGGTATCTTTGTGCCTAAAATGGATCAAATCGAGTGAAAGTTTTACATAGCTCCCATGTAACTAATATCAGGATTTTTAAACATTCCTCTGACTTAACTCCATATGATTGGTGATGGTATGTGAGGTACCTAAACATGTATAATAATATCGATTTAATAAATAAAAAATTTTATTCACTGTCAAAAAACGATTTCTTTTCATACTCCTCAATACAGTTGTAATGCATTCTATATAAAATCAGTTATAAGCATATGCAACAAAACACAAGAACGAATTCTCATAATTTTAGTAAATTTAGTTTACAAATTGCTCTAATTAGTTTCACTTTGAATGTAAATAACTTAGGCAACAGTTCCTACATCTAATTAATCAAATATATAAAGAAATCTCAAACGAGTATACCATTTGACTTTGCGAGAGTATAAAATGTTGCGTTATGCTACTAAAATAAGGCTGCTTTGTGAATTTTCTGTTGCAAGAAAGCAATATTACAATGGTACTAGTGGAGTTGGTACAAAAAAAAAATACGTTCTGAATGGGAAAAATAATATGAAAAGATATGTATTTTCAATTCCTTTCGGGTTCTTTATGAGACATACGCATACATATTGTGGCGAACACGAATGCCAGTACAAAAGAGAATCGACGATAACTTGTCAGAATCATCTAAACAGCGATAAGCAACGGATAATGAGTATTAGAGTAGTAGTTTGTGAATATTTGCGCATCCCACACCTAAGCATAGTTTAAAAAATAGTAAAATTTATAATTTGTTTTAAAAATTTTCCGTACTTACAAATTTGAAACTACATGCGCGCAACCAAGCCAAGAATAAAAAGATGATTTTGAGGCCACCATCCCTGCAAGCCTGTTAAATCACCGGTTAATTACCCAACAACGATATCAGAGATTTCTGTTAAAGTTTCTATGACCAATTGACAATTCTAACCGAAATTCTTCTGTACGTGTGATCGTTCATCCCTTTCTTACGCATTGGACTTATGAGTTGCATGGTGTGTATGTGTTAGTTTCCGCTCTAATTACTTCAATGCTTTTAGTTTCCATAGGCATGACTTGCTGCGATGTTATCCAAAATTAGGCTTCACATTTGGTATTACCAGACTACGAGTATATCATTTTGTAGTTTATTAAGAAAAATTTTATAATTTTATGAAATATATTAGTAAGTCTAGTTAAGGCATAAACCATCGATAGGCAAAATGAACTATCGATAGTGGGACGAAAATTAAACTATCGATACTATCGATAGTCCAATCGATTGATTTGCAGCTCTAGTCCTCACAGTTGAAAGAGCAGAAGGTGCGTAAATCGCCGCAGATGACCTAAAAGCCTGAAGTAGATGAGTTGAAAGAGTATCTCCCCGAGCTACAACTGAAGCGGCCAATTATGTCAACAGGCTCTGTAGATAAAGTCGCTGCATTATTCGTTCCATTAAAAAGTCTGCAAAATTGAAAATTGGTCATATGCTCTAACAAGCGAAACTGTATTTCTGCTTTGTATGCGAACATTTAAAGCTTATCAAGTAGAAATAGAAGAACATACCTAGGGAAATGTTTGAAGAAAATATGGATAAAATGCTGCAGAAGTCTACCGAAATGCGTACATCTGCGCGGTCCAAAAATGGGAAATATGAAAACGACTCTGAGCGTGTAACCCAAAAACATTGTTAAATTATTATATTGCTTTTATCGTTTCTATTTTGGGTCGATATACATATACGATATCTTAATAAAAGAACATTTCTTAAGAAATATAGTATCGGGAGAATCCCATATTGACATATACCCGTGCTTAATGTGCCGAAACATGAATAATTATGAAACATCTCTTTTGTTTTTTGATTAATATCCTATACTGCATTCGCATGTTAATTAATTCTAATACAATATTCAAACTTATATAAATATTACATTTTTTGTTTTTTTTCATTCCAGATATTCCGGAAGTTCAAATACGACTTGGAACATCTTTAAAGCAAAATACTATTAGAGAAGGGGCAGATGTCTATTTTGACTGTGTCATAAATGCACATCCATTCGTTTACCGAGTAGATTGGCGTCATAACGTATGTACATATGCATTCATTGTTACCTTGCATAGATATTAACAGTCATTCAAAATTAATTTGAAGATTAATTAAGAAAATATTGGAAATATGAACAATTAGTTTGTTAAGTCATACATATTTAAAGTTTATGTGTGCGTGTGTATAACTTAATTTTTCTAAAAATCTAAAAACATGTATAGTTTAAACAAGTAAGAACTTAGCCTTAGTTCGGGCTGACAGATACTCAATCGAAGAGGCTAAATTTAATATATTGAAATGATGTGCTAAACGTCAACCAGAGGATCTAAATTCATTACATTACATTATATTGGACCAAGGTCTAAACCAATTCTATTTATATGAAACACTAAGGGATATAATTTTAGGAAACTACACTAAAATATCACACATACTGACCAACCTAACCGGTTTAACGACAGGTGGGCAGTCGAAAATCACTATAAAAAGTATTTTAGGGATAGAAACTATAGTATATTCAATATTATACTTTCAATTATTTTGCTAAGTTATCTTACATATTGGCCAATATTTACGGTATAAAGCCAACTGGAAGTTTGAAAATCTAATATTAGGTATATGAGAGGTAGGAATAGTTTTGACATGTTTCTATCTATTTTTGGCACAAGTTATAGTGCGATTTCGAAAATTTTTGGACGTAAGATGAAGTTTAGGGTGCAAACTTTTTTCCCTGTGAAAATGATGGAATCGTAGGGTAACCCCGCCCACTAGTTATGTTAAAAACTACTAAAATTTTGCAAAAATACTGCCTTTGAAGTGTCCCAGCTTATAACCAAAAATTATCCCAACTGTTCAAGCCCCCAGGTGCCAAATATTTGGACCCCAGTTCCTATTTTTTTTATTATTTTATTACTTTTTCTCGAAAATATCGGTAAATCTGTGAGATATATTATAGAAACCCCGAGAGAAACCTTATCTAACAATAATATGTGTGCCAAAAGTGGGTTGATTCGCTTCAATAATTCCCTTAATCCCCATATACCTAATAGAAAATTTTCGAGCTTCCGGCTGACTTTGTGTAGCAAATATCAGTCAATATGTGAGTTGCCTTAATGAAATTAAAAGAGCATGTTTTTCTAATAGCAGTGCATCTATGTGCCTAAAATAAATAAAATCGGGTGAAAACTTGCCCTAGCCGCCATATAACTAATATCAGGTTTTAAAACATCCGGTTAATTCTATACCGCATATATTGTTGAAGGTGAGTGAGGTATCTTAATGAAACTCAGAGATCATACTTTTCTGTTAACATTATGTAGTAATTCCATAGATAAAATCAGGTCAATCTCTCATGTCTATCTATCTATAAATTTAAAAAGAAAGTGTGTGTGTATGTTCCGTATAGGCTCCGAAACGACTGGACCGATTTCAATGAAACTTTCATCATGCTCAGCCACGCACATGCGACAATTAATTATAAAATTATTAATTGCGACCTGAATGGTTGAAGTCGGGATTGCCTAAATTACCGATTTAATGAACTGCTTCAGTTTAGTCACATTTCTGGGTTTTGTTTTGTACACCTCTTGCTTGGTCAGGTCAGGTGACCTTGAGGGCCAGCGAAAATATTGATATGAATTTGTTTTCAAATTCGTTGGAGCTCCGCAATAACCAGTCTGGCTATGTGTGCATTTGCTCCGCTTTGCTGGCACCAAACGTTATTGAAAGGGATAGATCTTCAACGCAGTTCTGGGTAAAATACTCATTCAACATCTTTAAATAACGGTGCCCATTGACAGTTACTGTTACACCGTTTTCTTCAAAGAAGTATGGCCCGACACCTTGATGAAACTGCGCACCATACAGACTAGTTCTGGGTGAAATTCCGTTTCGTCGATTATTTCTGGATTTGATTCACTCTATATACGACAATTTTGCTTGTTTACATTTCTGTTTAAATCAAAATGGGCATCATCAGACATAAACAAGCAATTCATCAAGTTATTGTTTTCTTCGATCATTTCAATAATTTTTTGTACGGACCCAGGTAAAAGTCATCATGAATTATCCGATGATTGTCTGCTAACTCAAAGTTGCGCCGATAAGTTGCGAGTCGAAACTCTTGGATTTGCCTGAATTGACGATGCAATAACCGCGATTGTTTCTTAAACACGAACATACGGATCTTGTTTCGGATTCGTTTTCTTGCGATACTTTCAGATTCGGCAAACATGTTTACGAACCTCATAATGGCCCATTTACTGGGGGGAGTACCGCCAAAATCCAGTCTGAATTGCCTTTGGACGGAAGCGACGGACTGCAAAGCATGATACCTCTGCACTATCCAAACCCTCTAATATATATATATAATATAATATATAGGTATACGGTAAAAGGTACACTATCAGACAAAATAAAGTGGAAACATGTGTATCTTAAATTAGTATTAGGTTTGAAGTTTAGGACAATGAATTTCCACCCTGGTGTACTCAGCATTTGATAGGGGATTCCCCTAATTTTAAATGGAAGTAGTAAATTTTATAATGTGCATATCCCGTTAGAAGCAACCAATATCAAACTTGGCATGTTGTCAGTGAACTGCCACAGAATTAAGTGCAAAATCTTTCTTTGTAAACAGCAGTAGTTAATTTTTTAGTTTTTTGGGAATAAAATTTTAATTTAAAGTCAAGGGTAACTAAATTTTAGTTAACTTATTATAATAAAAAGAAGAAATAACTTTTTAATTGCATACTTTTTCAATGAAGCCGTTTTAAAAGAGGTAAAAGATTTATTGGTGCTAGTGAATCGTGCTAGTGAAGCAACATACAAGTAGGAAGATTTGGCAAAGAAATATGGTATTTCGATCTCTGGAGCCAGGCAAATTGAGGAAAAACATAAATAGTTAGGAACAACACAAAATTTAAAAACATTATGTAGACGAAAACCGAAAACCACTTTTCAAAATGACTGAAAAATTGCAATGGAAACCAAAAAATATCCACTAAATTCAGCAAGAGAAAGAAAAGAGTCCTGCAGCTTAAATATTTTATCACGTACTGTGCCAAGAAGATTGGTTGATTCGAGATTGAAAAGTTATTTTGACAAAAAGATGCCGCAGTCGTTTTGGAATCGCGCTTGAGTTAAAAAACTCCAAAAGACGTAAACGGGTGTGATGTAAGTTTCTTTAAAAAGGATAATGATCCCAAGCACCAGAGCAGGTGAAAAACACGCTTATTTTATTGAATTAAGATAACACACATATTGACCGATATATGGGGTAAGTAATCGGGAGTAAGAAATCGTTTCTATTAGCTAAGGGAAATATTACCCTGATTCAACCCATTTTTGACACACAGACATAGGTACTACTATTAAGAAAGGACTCTCAGTTAGTTTCAATTACATATCTCACTCATTCACCGATATTTTCGGTTGCACATTCGTGTTGTCCAGATATTGACATTTGAATATTTGTTAAATTGAAAGTGAAACGTTGGTCTCTTTTGCCAGTTGCGATTGGATAACCCATGTAGTTGTGATGTAAAGTTCTTCCAGGTCAGAACGACCTCCATCTTCAACATTCAATCTGCCTAAAATATGACTCCAGGATGCATTTGTGTTCCGGAGCTGAAAGAGACTTTCCACCTGGTCGCAAGCTGGCGTCGACGATGTTTTTAATGCGTTGTTTTTTAGCTTGTCCAAACACATTGCAGAACAGGATCTTAAACATACATATGTGCTTTATAGGGGCTTAAAAATTTTTTTGAATAACTATAATTATACTTATAGTCAGTAGTTAAGTAATAAATGATTAGTTAATTTATGGCAAAAAAAA